AAAAAAAAAAAAAGAGGAAAGAAAGAAAGAAAGAAAAAAAGATGGGAGCCTTCACAAAGGTTGCTCATGTGAAGCCCCACTACTTGGCGGAACTCCAAGGAGAAGAGGCACCAGAGGTTGATTATTCGGAGCCTCAATACTTGGTTGAGCTCTAGATGACAAAGGCAAAAAGTACCTCTGGAGTATAGCAACAAACCTCTGATGGTCACTTTGAATCCGACCTTCGGAGTCCTACAGCTGGTCAAGCTTTCTCTTTATGCTCATCGAATAATTATTTGCAAGCAGGTGCAAGTCTCTATTCTCATGCTTGAGCTATTTGATTTCTTGTTTAAGATTAGCCACCTCGACCGTCAACGATTCAACTTGGCGAGTCCGAGCAAGTAGACGTTAGCCCATATTAGACACGGAGCCCGCGCACTGAACATTGAAAGCCAGGGAGTCTTGGACAGCCAACTCATCGGTCTATCTTGAAAGTAGCCTATTATATCTAGGAGTAAGAAGGTTTCTAGCTACTACCTAAGGTGTTGTTGCATCCTTCATCACGGAGTCTTCAATTGTAAGAGGGTCATTCGAAGATAAAAAGGATGGACGCCATATATTTTCCTGACGCGGCACACTCGTATTACTTCCGAGACTCAAATCTAAGCAGATGTTAAACGGGTAGGCCATTTTCAAAAAAAAAAAATGGTAAAAGAAAATGGTTAAATGGAGTAAAATCTCAGAAACACACCAGGGACAATTTTCACGAGCAGGCAATCTTCAAAGTGTGAATGTTGGATGTGATCGATATCTTTATAAAAGGAGAGGCAATGCAACCACTAATCTAAAAAAATCGAAGAGACACCACTCTCCGAACTTCAAAAGCCGGATTTTCTTACGTAAAATCCGTCGACACTTTTGAGACGCAACCTTAGCTTGTCAGATAACACGTGCAACTTTGTCAAAGATCTCTGACAAAGTTGAAAACGCGTGGAGTCCACTATTCCAACTACCACACTTTTACCGACAAGCGTGGGTGACAAAGCCGCACCTGCACCACTACCTGCTATTAAAATCCCTATATATGTCAACATTCATCTTCTATGGCAAGGTACACTTCCAAAACGCCTGGCTTCTTCCTTGCCAGGAATGCATCTACAACCAAACCTCTCAACATACTCAGTTTTCTTCCTCTCTGAAAACACCTCTTCAACTAGGTCACACCAGAACAAAAGTATCTCATATCATTAGGGTCGAAAGTAAAAGTATCTCATAACATGCCTTTTCCATGTCCTTTCCTTTGTTCTTGTTCTTCCCTACAAGACAAGGAGAAAGAGAGCGATCAGTCAGCACTAGGAATCAAGCTTTCTGTCTGGAACCGACTGCCTGGAACTACTTCCCTGATTGCTTACCCAGCATTGCTCTCAAGTACTCATCTTCAACTGTTGATGTACCTCCAAAGAAGATACCAGATGCCTGGAGAACGGTTAAGGCAGAAGGAAACGGTAGATCGAAGCATGTGGAGACAGGCGCAACAAATATATGTGTTGATTCAAAAGCAAAAGTATCTCATATCATCAGGGGCGAAAGCAAAGGTATCTCATATCATGCTTTTTCCCTGTCTTTTCCTTTGCTCTTGCTCTTGCCTGCAAGACAATGAGAAAGAAAGCAATCAATCGGAACCCAAAATCAAACATCCGATCTGGAACTGATTGCCCAAAACCTTTGCCTGGTTGCTTATCTAGCATTGCTCTCGAGTGCTCGTCTTCAACTGTTGGTGAGTCTCGAATTTCCTCAACAAATATTCCAAGACAGTTGATATGATGTTGGCTCTTTACATTGAAGCTGCCAAGCATGGGCGAGTCGCTGAGAAGTGATGTTCTAAAGGACCATTTAAATGCAAAAGGTTGCGCACCACTTCGGCTATGCAAAAGAAACAAGCAGAGAATAATGCAACACAATGAGCTAGAACAAATCATTGTAGCACGACGCCCTTCCTTGCAGAACCGCATAATCCAGACGGAGGAGTTTAAGTCAAATCCAAGCTCAACATTGTTGTTATAATCAAAGAGCTCAAGAAGCCTTAACAACCTTCCGCTGGCACCGTCGCCAAATAGCAAAGCCTCGCCACGCGACGCCGTCAAATCGCTAGTACTTCTTCAAAAGCGAAAGTATCTCGTATCATCAAAGTCGAAAGCAAGAGTATCTCATATCATTCTTTCTCCATGTTTTTTCCTTTGTCATTGTTCTTACCTGCAGGACAAGGAGAAAGAGAGCAATCAGCCGGCTCTTGGAATTAGCCTTCCGATCTGGAACCTACTGCCTAGAACCTCTTCCCTGATTGCTTACCTAGCATTGCTCTCGGGTAGTTGTCTTCAATGGTTGATACACTTCTAGAGAAGATGTCATATGTGCCTGGAGAACAGATAAGATGAGTGACAATGAAACATCAATCTTGTGGATCGTCAGCAAACGCAACAACTACATATGCTAATTCATCCCTTAACCCTCTTCATTATGAATTGGAAAGATTGAACAAAGAAACAGGCCATCACCTCCACCTCATGCTTGCTTGCCATGTGTCCGAATCCTGAAGCCACTCGTGGTCCTATTTTCATTCAAGATCAAGCCTCGATGGCCCTTGAAGAAATCACAAGTCCGATTCAAAATCAAGTGTTCACCACCTTTGAATCAAATTCAGCTCCAGATAAAAGGCGTAAGTTCAGACCTTTGGAGGAGACCAGAAAAACCCTTCAGCCCAGTTCAAGATTAAGCATGTGGAAAATCAACGATTGGAGGACCCGAAAATCTTCCAGTTGAATTCAAGATCAAGCCTCGATGGCCCTTGAAGAAATTTCCAGCTCAATTCAAAATCAAGCCTCAACGGCCCTTAGATCGACATCTACATTAAGGGACTTCAAAACGCATCTTCTACATGTGACAAGCACATGTATACGACGCACCTTGAAGTGGGGGCATTTGTAGACATCGAAATTTTAGTGAAATAAATGTTAACCAATGCATTAAAATTACAACCTTTATTCATTTCACCTACATCACACACTCATTTCACCTACAAACTCCACTCATCTCACCTACAACTTCCACTTACTTCACTAACATCACACACTTACTTCACCTACAAACTCCACTCATTTCACCTACAACATCCGCTTACTTCACCAAAAAAATGGATGGTGGTGATTCATTCTCAAAGCCTATAAAATAGGCTTCTCCATCAAGGGATAAAGGAGGAAAATAGACCAATTCACATCACACCAAAACCTTGAAGCTTTGAAGCTCCAAAGCTCTCAAGCAAATCCTGAAGGATCAAGAAAACCCTCTTCGTTCTTCGTCAAATCCTCCTTCAAGATCAAGCCCCGACGGTCCTTGAAGAAAGTGTTCATCATTCATCATCCGTTCATCCTAAGATCAAGCCCCAACGGCCCTTTGGATCAACAACATCAACAAATCCACACACCCGTTCTTCAAGATCGAGCCCAAAAGCCCTAGAAGATCTGCTCATCAACCGTTCATCCTAGGATCAAGCTCCGACGGCCCTTGAAGAAAGTGTTCATCGTTCATCATCCGTTCATCCTAAGATCAAGCCCCAACGGCCCTTTGGATCAACAACATCAACAAATCCACACACCCGTTCTTCAAGATCGAGCCCAAAAACCCTAGAAGATCTGCTCATCAACCGTTCATCCTAGGATCAAGCTCCGACGGCCCTTTGGATCAACAACATCAATAAATCCGCATAACTGTTCATCTCTAGACCAAGCCCCGACGGCCCCTTGGATCAACAACTCATCCACATATCTACATTTTACGAAGATAGAATCAAAGGCTAAATTTGTAAAAGAGATTGTAACCTCAAAATCATTAATACAAAATATATTTTGTACACGTGTTCTTGTTTCAGAAAAATTTGTTTTTACAAAAGAATTTGAGCCAAAAAGGGTCTCAGGCTGGCCACATTTAGCAAGCCCGAAAGCTCGGTCTATAAAATTGGCCGGTCCCCGCGCATGACAAACAAACAGCTCAAATGCAATGTCCATTGGCATCCGTCGTGCTTCCTCAGCCAAAAATAATTATGAAAATCAATTGCTCTTTTCTCACATGGACATAATTTTTCACATTTCTACTTATTCACATACTTTCCACGCTGATTTCATTTAAACATTGCTAGTTATATTTCGCTTTGATATTGTAGATGATACAACATTAACACTATGTTTGGATGAGGGAAATAAATTTGGAATTTTGGTAAAAGTTGAAATTTATAAATTGACAGACACCAATTCTCTTGTTTGGATTCATAAACATAGAAATTTAGAATTTTCGCGTGGAAAAAAAACTTGGAATTTGGGACCACCAAATCCCAAGTTCAAATTCCATGTAAATAGGTGTCATTTCTCAATTTCTATGATTGAGAGTTTAAAAATAACAAATTCCGTATTCAATTCCATTGTTATTTTAAGTTAATCAAACAAGAAAATTTACAAATTCTAGAAAATAAAATCTCTTCGTTTCAATTTTCATCATTTTTAAATTTCTTAGTAATCTTAAATGTCTTCACCCAAACATAGTGTAAGTTTTATACAAGAATGCATACGAATATTAGATATGAAGCATGAGGACACTTGAAAAATTAGTACTATGAGTTCTTTTTTTTTTTTTTTTTAAACAACCGATATTATATATACTAAGAGGAGGGGATGAGCTTAGTCTCACAATAAGTTAGCAAATAATGTGGTTCAAATTTGCCTTTGGCGAGAATTAAACCTAAAATCTCTCACTTACAACTGAAGAAAAATGTCATTAGACTATAATACTAAGTGACGTAATATGAGGTTTTGGTTATAGAACTTAATGTTTTGAGCGTTGACACTCGTTTTCCTTGGCTTGGCCAAGATTTTGCATTTCTGTTTTTAAGGAAAATGCATGGAAAATGATTTTTCATGAATTCTTTTTCGCGTCCGTACCAAACACAACCTCAATACTTACAAGTTTGGAAATGAGTATGAAATTGTATTCCCTTGTTTAATAGGCTCATCCTTATTGAATGAGTATAAACTTTCCATAGAAACAGGATTTCATACTTTTGATTTATCTTACAAACAAAAACAACTTACATGAACCGAATTCACTATCTCGTAGTGTCCCGACTTGTAAAGGTTACTATAGAAACCCACAAACCATTTCATTCTTTACGACAAGAAAATCCAACTTTTTTTTATTCCATGTAATCTAGGTTTCTATACAACCACCTCACGCCATGATTATTGGTCAATACAAACTCATATCCTCGTCAGCATCCTCATAAACCCGACCCCGGTTATTACCCGAAACCAACTTACCCAGCCTAGAACCGGAGGTCCGATTCTCCACCACAGCCTTCAATGCCCGCTTCAAAGCCCTAAACCCCTCCTCCCCGCCACCGCCAGCCCACTGCATCACCACCACATTCTTGGTCCGACTGCCGACCGTCATCATCTCAGCCCGCACAGCCCTTGCCCGAACAGACCTTATCGCCTGTACCAAGTCCCGGTTTAGACCCGGCCTGTCTTCGCAGCTCAGTGTCGCCTTCAACAGCTTGGTCCCGCCGTTGCAGTAGTTCAGCGTCACCTCGTCCGATTCGCCCGGAAACGGCCAGGCCTCCGACCCGGCCCTGGCCTTGGCCCACCAGGTCATCGGCCTGCCTCCTCAGCTCCCTCACGTGCTGCACCACCTCCGCCAGCAACGACGCCTTGTCCGTCTGCATACATTCAAAACACTGCGTGCAATTACTGTAATGTCCTTGCGTTAAGTCGAAATAACGAGAAAAAGTACGCGGTTACAGATATATATACCCGGGTGGTGTTGGGGAGGAGAGTACGGAGGGTGGAGAGGTGGGCGTTGATACGCTGCCTGCGCCGCCTCTCGGCTTCCTTGTGGCTGGTGGATGCTTCTGCTGACTTGGCGGTCTCCGTCGCCGATGCCGCCGAGCTCAGGATGGAATCTGTGCCGTCCATTAGGTTGTTGTTGTTGTTGCGGTTTTGACTGGACCAGCTCTGTCGCTCCGACTCAGAGTAGTTCTGGAAAGGAAGCATTCTTTCTCTTACGAATCAAAAAAATGATAAAATGAATGAGAACAAATTAAGTGGAAGAGAGAATGGGAGTTGAAGTGAAGAGGTTAAAACGCTAAAACTTTAAACTCAGAAGAAAGTGAAGAGGTTAAAACGCTAAAACTTTAAACTCAGAAGAAAGCTTAAGGGGTCTGTATATGTATATGTATATATAAACCCACACCCACAAACAAAAGGGTGTAATTCTATAAAACAGAGGAGAGAGGGGGACAGTGAGTTATTTTGTACTTGGTTTTTACTTTTGATTTACCGTTTTGGGTTTCTTTTTTTTAACAGATATTAAACTAATCCATGAATCAGTTTTAATAAATTAGTATGAATTTATTATTTATTTACTAAAGTTAAATTTAAACTTTTAACTCCTAAATAAAAATAAAAACTATTAAACTAATTCATTAATCAGTTTTATATTACACTATTCATTTTCACTTGTAAGTGAGGGTTCTTAAGTTCGATTATGACCAAAAACGAATTTGAACTACCTTATTACTAGCTTATTATGAGGCTAAGTCCATCATCCATTTAGTAATAAATAATAAGAAACTTTAAAGAAAAGTTTCTGGTACGGTTCACTTTAAGGAAAAATCACATTTTTACACTAAAATGTCAATCATGGTACTATTCACTTTATCTTTATTTTATTCTTATCGTTAAAATTCAAAGTTTTTAAGTTTTTTTTATTAGTTTTCCTTAAATAATATTGTTTGTTAATAAAAAAAAAAGATAAATACCTTTAAATATATTATTAAATAGTAATATTAAATAGTTTTGGATAATATTAAATAACATTTAGTTTGTTAGGCAGGTCCACTAGGATTAGATAAAAATTTACCACAAAAAAGATAAAAGTGAAAAAGCATGGGATTGGATGATATTAATTTTGAAGTAAAAAAGAAGACAAAATGGACGAGTATCGAGGAAGGACTAGAAACTTGAAAGGGGAAAGACTGAAAGAGGGGACAGTGTTCGGAAGGGGACCAAGGGAATATTACTAAACAATCCATGGGTCATGTCCATATGTCTGAAGAAGTGGTAAAATGTCATTGAAATCATTTTTTATTTTTCACATTTTCTTTATATTTACTTATTTGTATATATTTTTTCAATTATTTAAACTTAAATTTTTTGTTGTTGTTGAAACGTTTAGTTTAAAAGTTAGATAGTAACTTGTTCATAAAAAAAAGTTAGATAGTAACACGATGAGAATCTACTTACACGTTGAACAAAAATGAACTTAAATATTTAAATATACACACTTTTTTGTATTCTGTTTGACTAAATAAATCAAGATTTAAATTATGAACAACTTTTATTGGTCGGCCGTTTAAGTGCTAGGCAGTAGTGACCCAATACGTTTTCTTGCAAATCGGTTGGAAAAATCGATTGGGCTCTAGGCAGGCTAAGCACTAGGGGGTGAGGCGGCCCTAGGCAGCTCTAGGCGGTGCTAAAAAAAAATCCTATCTACATTACTATATTTCCTTACTTTCCTCCTATTTTGCATTTTGTGTGGTTTAAAATTAGGAACTTATTGTACATGTGTTATCCTACAATACTCCTCACTATGGTTCTATGACATATATGTTTAATGTGTTTTTAAATTTTCGACTTGTTGGATATTCTTTTTGCATTTTATTATTCTTTTATTATCTTATCCATGGATTTCATACAAGTTTAATTTTTTTGTAAGTGTCAATATGCACTTATTTATAAGATATAGAAGAAATTTACCTAAATTCGCCTAGGCCTCCTAGGCGCCTGCTTAGACCCCACCTAGCCGCCTAGGCGCTAGGCGCCAGCTCGCCGCCCTACTAGTGCCTAGCATTTTTTAGAACCTTGATAAAAATAAATTCTAGACATGTCATGCTGTGATTTGATCAAGGAAGAGGATATTTTCCGGATCCACTTTGTAGGGATCCTACGGATCCCCATATCTTAGTCGTTTATTGTATATCGTTCAGCTAGTTTTTGTTAGGTATTATTTGTGTTTAATTTTAAATAAAAAAAAATCAAATGATTTCTGACCGCACGATGCACAATAAATGACTAAGATGTGAGGACCGCTAAAATCCCTACAATTTAGATCCGGATGAGATCCAAATCCTTTGACCAAAACTTAAAACAAAAAACTTATTATAAGACTTAGTTCATTTTATTTTAAAAATAATTGAACAGTTAATTGAATATATTTTTTGTAAGTAGTAAATTATCAAGGAAAACTAATGAAAAGAACTTGAAAACTTTGATTTTTAATGATAAGAGAAAATAAAGGGTAAAGTGAATAGTACCAGGATTGATTTTTTAGCGTAAAAATGTGGTTTTTCATTAAAGTGAACAGTACCGTGGATTTTTCGTTAAAACTCTTAAATTATTATGATGAATAGAGTTTTTCTCTTCAACTTAATATTTAAAAAAAAAAAAAAAGAAGTCATAATTTCATCATTGTAGTTCAAAGTAATAATATTGTATGACGGTGTGAGTTTGAACCTTGCTAGTAGCTAATTTAACATCTAATCTATCAAAATATATGGTTTGACAAAAAAAATAATAAAAATATTGCATGTAATTGAAAAATGAATCACTTTTTTTTTTTATCCAAATAAAACTACTTAAGCCAGTTAATAGTTTAATGATATTCATCTTCAATCGTAAGTGAAACGTCTTTAGATTTGAATTTGTAAACGGCCATTTTCGTACAAGTTATCGTTGTATAAAAATAGTATAATTTCTCCTAGAGAGATGGGTTCATTCTTCTACTTGTTAATAATGTATCTTCAGATTTTTTACAATCAAACTGGTTCAATCTCTAGTATTCATTTTCTGAGTACGATACCTCTGATGAGTCGGCTTGCCTGTGGTTACGTGCCTACGAGTAGGATGAAATTCCCCACATCTTCTCCGGCTCGAAGAGAGTGGATAACCATGGTTTATCACCAGTTGTCCCTCTTTTTGCAAAAAAGAAAACAATAGAAAGTAAATTGGTAATGATATTGTACTATACTAATTCAATTTAAGTATTCACTACGGCGGCGGCAACAGCAAAAGCAGCAGCAGCAGCCACAGCTTTTGAGGAGGAAGAGGAGCAAAGAGGGGAATCAAAGGTGGTGACAGCAGCGATCATTAGCCGACAACCTCTTTTACCTTTGCCTTCTTCTCTCAACTTTACCCAGTTGCCCATGTTTCACTTTCACCCTTCCTTCTTCTGCTCTTTCTTTATGCTTTGTTACCGTAGTTGAAAATATTTCTCATCCTGTGGGGTAGTTTCTTTAAGTTAAAAGATCTTTCTTATGCTTTGTTACCGTAGTTGAAAATATTTCTCATCCTGTGGGGTAGTTTCTTTAAGTTAAAAGATGAATTTCATTTAACAACAATCGAGAAAACGTCACATAAAGCGGGTCAAAAAAACTAGTCGGTTAAAATTGAGTGGAAAAAAGTTTGGATAAAGAAAAAGAGGTCCCATGTATCAGCGCAACAAACTAACTCAAGATTAGTGATCATTAATACGTTAGTGCATTGGGGTGCAACTCGAGTGGGTTAGATGGCCGACCCAACTCTAACTCAACCTTCACAACTCATGCTTGGGTTGAGGTCGTGGTCATGTGGGTTTAGTCGGATTTATGTTTATTTGGGGTGGGTTCAGGTTCGTCCAACTTTATCGAGTTCAATATTATAACACCTTGGAGACTATTTCTAATGTTTCAACCATAAAGTTGATTTTTTTTTTTTGGAACAACCATGAAGTTGAAATTAAATTACAAGACCAAAGCTTCAACCAAAACAAATGTAAAAGTAACACTATCATTCATTATCCAAATAAAAACTAACAATAAGCTTTAAATACAGTCACTCCAAAATTTATACATAACTTATAGATATGAAATGGATGGGTAATATATGCATGAGCGAATTTGGACTCCAAATCGGATTAGGTTTAGGTTGACATGGGCGAGCAAGATACCAACACAATCCAATCCAATAAATAATTGGAATGAGCTTGTGTTGGGTTTGGGCTAGTTTTTTTTTTTTTTTTTTTTTTTTTTTTTTCATTCTAACCCATCTGATCGGATTTGAAATTCAGGATGGACATAAATAGAATCGGGTTGATCTAATCCAAATTTCAGTCCTATTAGTTCATAAGCCACGAAGGTCCAAAATCTACACAACCCCCCGCCTCCGCGGCGCAAGCGGCCCGTTTCCCATTTTCGAATGGAAAACGCAGGCGTGGAGCGACAAAAATAGGAAAACATGGGGATGAAACAAGTAAATGAACATAAAGGCTAAAGCCTTATATTATTCTTACTAAAAAATTTCGAATTTCTGATCAGATTTTAGGATAATTATCTATCTATGTTCATAAATGAAGCACCTCAAAATAGTGAAGCACTCAAATAGCATAAATTGTGCTTTAAAATTTTTCAAAATTACGATTGAATCAAAAGGAGTTAAAGTAATCCACAACATTTTAATTTTCTCTATATAAAATTTAAAACTTAAAAAATTAACAAAAACAAAGAACTCTCACGTTAGACCATCTTCAACCCTTGGTTAAAACCTAAAATTTTTAACCCAGAAAATTTAGGCTTTAACCCACAACAGTTGTTATACTCCAATGGTTCTCGATTATAATTTTAACCTGAGATTATTAAAGAATGAATTTAGGCTTAATTTTTTTTCGATAACTTTTTTTTAAAATAAAATTTATGTAGATTATCATAATTTATTTTTATGAACGTTTTAACATAAAAATATTTAGATCCTGACAAAATTTGAAAAATTCAGTAAATTGACCCCATGAAACATGTATTTATAGAGTTTTTTTGGTGAATTTTGATTTAAATAATTTTTTTTAACTCTTTTAGGCATTGGATTTAGTTTGGGTCATTTGACATTTTTTCTATTGTTGGAATGAAATGAATTAGAATTTTTCTTCTATGATCAATCGGTATAAACATCAACAACTTCGAATTCGATTAGTTTATCCTCACCAAATAAGTCCTTGGGCCAAATAAAAAACCCTACCTAATGGAGAGATAGTTGAAAAGGTGGACAAAACCGTAATTTTCATTAC